ATGTCGACAGCGCGCTCCTCGTCTCGTCGCGGCCTACTCTTCAGCGAGATACCTATAGAGTCTATCTCGTACTGCCGTTTGAGGAGTTCCGTTAGCTCCTCGTCCCGACTGGCAAACGTTCGGATGTCCCTATCTGACCGTCCGCTAGCGCTCTCTACGTGTAATACGGTCTCGCCGTCTTCCCTACACGTTAACCGCGGCACGGTTCCCTGAATTACCCATCCTAATAACGTTCGTGCAGCTATAGGCTGCCTTCGACGTCCTATCCTTAAAGCACGGGTAATTATCAAGTGCCAATTGTCGGCGCCTAATAGCAGTCTTGGCTTCGCGTCGTCGTAACACACCGAACTCGGTAAGTCACGTAAGTGCTTTAATCGTAAGCACTCCCTACTCACGGACTGCGAGCCTATCTTCAAATCGGTTATTGTTCGCGCGTTTATGTTAAACGTCTCGCTGCGCGTCTTGCCACGTATCCCTATATTGACTAATCTACTATTAGCCTCGCGTTGACTGTTCCCTACGCCTTTAATGTTGAGCGGCTTTATCGGTCCTTCCGCTCCTAACTCGCGAGCTAAGTCGTCGTCGATTAGCGATATCGTAGAGCCTTCGTCAAGTAGCGCGTACGTGTTCACTTCCTTTCCGCGTGGTCCGCGTACGGTTATCGGACACACTTTTAACAATACGGACGTACTACTGCTAACACTCGACGCGACGAGCACGGTTTCGTCCGGTTTAACCGACGCTGCAGGCGTACGGGCCTTGCGGGTGTGAAGAAGAGCGTGGTGGGGGGCGTTACAACCGTCGACGCCGCACTTCTTGGCTTTGCAGCGTATACGTCGGTGCTTGCTGCTCAAGCACTTGAAACATACCCCATCTTCCCTAACCCAATTCCACCGGTCGTCCGAGCCCATTTGCTCTAACTTCTTACACTTGACGATAGGGTGTTCACCTCCGCAACACATACATGAGGCACTACCGGTGTCCTCCTGGGCGGTGAACGTCTTTACGTCGCGGGCCCTATCTTCTACGCGGCGTGTTAACACTATTCTTTTCGACGGCGGCGTTTCTCGTCTTACGGGCGATTCCTTAGTCGACGCTACGGACGTATAGGCATGACTTAACGCACGGTCAGCCTCTCTCATCATGAACCGGGATAATGTAACGATGTCCGGTTCGTCCGCACTTCCGTGGTGCTCCGCATAATCGCACCAACGCGACCGTAAGTGAGGGCTAAGTTTGCTAGTAACCTCCCTAGTCAGCATTGGATTACGCAAATAACCCTTGCCGTCGACGTTTTGCATAATGCACACTATATTTTGTAACTTAATTGCGAACGAGTTTAATTCCTGGGCGGTTTGACCCGGGCGCGGAAGGCGTTTCAATTCTTCTAACGCACGATCTATAATTACTTCCGGGCGGCCGAAACACTGCTCCAGTGTCCGCATAATGTCTGCCGGATCCTTTGCGGTAAACAGCAGAGCCGAAACTACTTCTCTAGCCTCACCGCGTAAACAGTTCCTTAATCTTGCCATATTTTCCGTATTTGTGAATCCATATAAACGCGTGGATTCATTCATCGCGGCTTTAAATGCTAACCATTCCGCGGCCGAGCCGTTAAAAATAGGCAAGTCCTGCGTCTGTTTCGCGGCGGCTGGTCTAACCCTAACCATGCTTTCTAAGGCTTCCGCTAGCCGTTCTATACCCCTATCTTTCCCTCGCGGGGTGAGCGACCTATCTCTATCCCTATTTCCTTCTAGCCTACGCTGTGGCGCCGGCGACCTATGTACACCTACATCCCTATGACGCGGCGACGGTAATCTACGATCCGCAAGGCGATGTGGCGATTTATCTCTGCCTACATCATTACACGGCGACGGTGATCTACGATCCGAGTGGTGATGTGGCGATGGCGATCTATGTATACCTACATCCCTGTGACACGGCGACGGTAATCTACGATCCGTAAGGTGATGTGGCGATCTATGTGTAGGCGATAGAGTGCGGCGTTGGACGTGCGACGGCGACGTAGCTCGTACACGACGATCCACCTGGTTCATTTCTACGGCGACTCCATTATCCCTCTGTATCCTATTTACGCGGCGCGGTTGAACGTCATTCGCGACCGACTTCCCCTGGGCATCTTCAGCGTGGTCGTAACCGGTTCCCCTCCTCGGTGGGGCCTGCTCTATCTCGATGCGGGGCGCGGGCTGAGGCGGGCGGTAGGGCGGCTCCCCCCGCACAGTCTCTACGTTTTCTAACCACCTATCAACGCGTACCCTATTTTCGACTAATTCGTCCTCGTTTAGGCTTTCCCTATCGGTTTCTTCTTGCAGTTGCGCGATATCCCTAGCATATTTCTTCTTGACGAGATCTTCCTCTATTTGCAATTGCTTCCTCCTAATTGCAGCTAGTTCCTCCGCGGCATTATATTCGATTTGTTTTAATCTTGCTACTGCGCTAGCTGTCGACCGGGCTGAACGGACTGAACGGACCGACGGGGCGCGGGACGCGGGCCTATGTACAACGTCTGCTACAGGCGCGACGGTACGCACTATCGAACTAGTTTCCGTAGTCGGAAGATCTTCTATTATCGCGGCGAGCGTTTCTGTGCGCGGCGCGGATGTGCTAACTTCTCCCAAGCGATCGGTTGTAGACACGGACATAGCGGGGCGCGGCGGCGCGGGCGCGGGCATAGATACGGGCGCGAGCGGGGGCTGCGGCGCGGCGGAGGGCGCTTGTGCCAACGCGAGATAATCGGACGGGGACGCGGGTGCTTCCTCGAATATCCGCATTCCTACTGGCGTTTCGTCGTCGTTCCGTGTCTTCTGGCTTCTTGTCTTCCGCATGATGGTGTCCCTCGTTGCGACCTCCGATCGTCTTCAAAAAGACGCACGTATTGGACGCCGTTCCCGCCTCAAGGGCGTTACCGGATGGTCACAGTTTGGCACCGTTAGGGAGCAACCACCCGGCCGCGTAAACGCGGTTAAGAAACAGGAATTGTCTGGAAACAGACAATATATATGACGTCGATGTAAATAAGAAACGAGGAAGGAGTTAGCACCGACGATCTTCTCTCTTCGTCGACGTACTTCTTTCTTCCTCGAAGATCTTCTGTAATGATCTTCTTTCTTCTGTAATTATGTTCTCTCTTCTATAATTATGTTCTTTCTTCAATAATTATGTTCTTTCTTCAATAATTATGTTCTTTCTTCAATAATTATTTTCTTTCTTCTTTCTTCTGGCTTGAATCCGGCGACGATGGACCAAGAACTTGTTATGGATCGCAGTGGACTGTATTATTGAGGGGGGGGGGGGGGGTACGCTAGGGGGCAACTGCTCAAAGAAAAGATGGTACTGTCGAACTATACTGTATTCTAACTATTTACAAAATGTGGCACTATTAATTAAACTATTATACAGAGGGGAGTATTCTTGAGTCTTGCTTTTCTTGATTTCTCTTGCTGTCTTCTTCTCGTCGAGTGCCGCTTCCGAAATGAACAGCTCACCGTCCGAGACGCCCTTCTTATATCTCGCCGGAGAGCGTCTCGGGTCGTGCGTAGCGTCGTCCGCGATGCCGCGCGCTCATTGGTCGGCGACATCGCGTGATCTGCTGCCGGTGTGCGGGGTGCGCGGGGCGCACCGGGGTGTGAAGGGGCGACGGGGCGGCGGCCTCCTCGCTGTCCGCTACACTATCCATTTAACATGAGAAGGCTAACTTTTATTATTTGAGGATAGCTATTAAATATTTTTCTCTGCTGGCTGCATAGTCTCTCTGAGACCTTGAGCTTCTTTATACAGCCTTTACATGGTAGAGCCATGCTGCAGCTATATACCTGGTATAGTTGTAGCACGAATGGATTAGTTCTACCGGGGAAGGGCCACACTCTCACAGAATACTAGCGTAAAATAGCAGCTTAACGCTGCTGTGTTTCGTATGGTGAGTGTAGAGAACCGAAGACCCTTTTTACTATAAAGGGGCATTCCATCTTAGTCTTCGCGGCTGACAACGCATCTGCATTTTGATTCGCAAACGAGGATAGATGTAGATGTCTATGGATCACAGCAAACATTTACCATCAGGTGAACTGTGTGCTCGTTTGTCACCTTTCTTCTGTTCCTATAAAAAAAGAACTATGAAGATGTTTGTACACGGAGTTTCTCTGCGTGATGGACTTCGTTCATTCCTTTATTACAGCCAATAATTTTTTTATCAGCGTCCACTGTTGAACGCGGGCCTCCCCACAGACTGTCTCATAAGCGAGACATTTGCCATAGTTGCCACGCATGGCGGGCGGGTGGTAACCGCAATTTTGTATTTGAAGACGCTGCTGCCAAGCTTCTGGTTTGTTTTCCTTAATACCTCTTACGACATTCACTGGACGATAGAGGGTAGTGGATATTGTTACACCGCAATTCACGGACAAGCAAAGAAATGACAAGATGGATTTCATAATGAGGATATCCGCAGTAGAATCAGAGTAATTGACATAGCCCAACGGATTAGTAAGCTGAAGTGTCAATGTTTTGTACGTGGTAGAGCCACGCTGCAGCTATATTAGTAGTATGGTTGTAGCACGAATGGGTCGGCTCGACCGGGGTACGACCACGCTCTCACAGAATACCAGCGTAAAATGGCAGCTTGACACTGCTGTGTTTCGTATGGTCAGTGTAGAGAACCGGAGACCCATTCTACTGGAAAAGATGCATTCCATTTTAGTCCTCACGGGTGACGACGCATCTGCATTTTGATTCTTTATTGAGGATAAATGTAGATGTCTATGGGTCACAGCATCCACTTACCATCAGGTGGACTATGTGCTCGTTTGTCACCCTATCCTATAAAAAAAGTGCCGGCCATATAGCTCGAAGAACCGACAACGAAGAACTTCTCGAGTGACAACCTCGTGCCGGTAAGCGAAGTGTAGAGCGAGCCCCCACTAGATGGAGTGACGACAGTTCAACAGTGATGATAATGATGATGATGATTAAATTTTTTTCAGAGCTGCAACGGTATGGGGCGTTGCTGAGAACTTAGCTGACAAGCGGCGTGTCAGCGAAAGAAGTAAGTAAACCTGTGTCATGAAGTTGTGATATTTATGGCGTATACACGTTGGCCAATAATATAGGCCAGTAAATCAATTTCAAAAGTCAAGTTATAGAAGCCATGTGTGAAAATAAATTCTTAACAAGGACCTCACGACACAGGCACTGTAATGACCAGAGAATTACACACCCTAGTTTACTCCAGCTTAGTTGGTGTGATAAGATCAAAGATCATATGGTACATAAATAAGACTATTTTACTTCCATATTACTTAAATTATGTTGTATATTATAATTTGAACCACCTTTAGCTGATTTAGCTGTATAAATAAATAAACAAAACATTTTCATATAATTAATAGAATCAGGCGTTACTTTGCGGAAATTCATTATATAAAAGCTTTTAGAAAAATTTTTTTTACTTCGCAAATATCCGCGTTATAAAATAAAATGATGTGTCTTACCTAGTACGAAGAGCACCTCCCGCCCTCCCTCATTTGCGTGCACTATCCCCGTCACCACTAATCCCAGCACCACTACTCCCAACACCACTACACTAGGCAAGACACACCACTGACGACAATACGACACGTGTTTCGCCTCTACACGAGGCATCCTCAGGTGATATAGACTCTACGGTGGCTAACCGCTAAAGCGGTAGAGTCGTCAGTGGTGTGTCTTGCCTAGTGTAGTGGTGTTGGGAGTAGCGGTGCTGGGATTAGTGGAGACGGGGATAGTGCACGCAATTGAGGGAGGGCGGGAGGTGTTCTTCATACTAGGTAAGACACATCATTTTATTTTATAACGCGGATATTTGCGAAGTAAATTTTTGTAAAAGCTTTTTAAAACATTTTCAATACTATAGTAGTGTGTAGGTCGTTTTCAAGTAGGGTTGCAAGTAGGGTTGGTCGGGATTCGTCTGGATTCTCCCGACATTTTAAATGACTCCCGACAAAAATCAAAATCTCCAGACAGTTTAGTAAGTAACAGATTTTCGGAACGTTAACGAATGGCCTTTAATTTAATAAAAAACTGAGTTAGTAATTAGACTGAACTTTGAAGTAAATTATTAGAATTTTACATCTTCTCTGAATACTACTAAAGGATCCAAATTGGTGGACTTTAAAGTTCAATGCCATACATGTGGCAACCTAAAATTAAATGTACTTAAATTAGTTTTCTTTAAAGCACTTTTTGTGGCCTCTTAATAAAAAGATATTTTATTTTCATATTTATTTCCCCCGACAACAGCCCCAATTTTTTTTTTATGAGAGTGGGCAAACGAGCGTGCGGCTCACCTGATGGTAAGTGACTACCGTCGCCCATGAACAACTGCAACACCAGGGGAATTGGGAGATGCGTTGCCGGCTTTTTAATAAGGAGTAGACTCTTTTCTTGAAGGTACCTAAGTCGTATCGGTCCGGAAAAATCGCTGATGGTAATCGATTCCACAAGGAAGTTGTGCAAGGAAGAAAACATCTTCTAAATCGCACAGCGGTGGACCGCCAATAATCCAGATGATATGGATGGTATCGCGAGTTTTGTCGCGATGTGCGATGGTGAAATTGAGTGGCTGGAATTAGTCCGAACAATTCCTCAGAGGTAGATGCAGCGCCAGTGAATCGAGCCGATCGGAAAGGACTCGTTCGTCGACGATTCGAACCGCCTTGCGGTGGATGCGGTCAAGTGGAAGGAGCTGGCACTGGGGAACCCCATCCATTACCAACAGTATTCCATGTGAGGCCGAACCTGCGCCTTAGAAAGTTGCAGGCGGTGTGCCGGCATGAAATACTGTCCCGCTCTGCTGAGCACGCCAAGCTCTTTAGAGGCCTTCTCTTCCAAGTGACCACGAAACTGCACGTCACTCATGTCACATATGTCGACGCCAAGGGTTCCGATACTGGCTGAGGCAACAAGGGGAGTGCCTTGAAACTGAGGAGATACGACAAAGAGGTTCTTTTTAGCGGTAAACGCGCAAACTTGTGTCTTCTGAGGATTAAACTGGACTAGATTTAGTCGCCCCCAATCCGAGACTTCAAAAAAAAATCCCGACATTTTCAATATTTGTCTAGATATTTTTGTCTTCCGATCTGGCAAACCTAGTTTCAAGTGACGGTTGCTAATGAATTATGTTCAATTGGTAGTAGTGGTGGTGTAGGTTATGATTTTATTGCAATCCTTATACAGATAAAGCCTGGAGTTACATCGAATAGTCTCAAATGTAGTTCTTGGTAGAAATGGCATTTAATGAGGGTATTCTTAGAATTTAGCAATTTGATTTTCTAACCTATATACCTACACACTACACACTGTCAAATTTAAAGAGTTGAAAGATACGTATTTAGACGGGACGATGCGGACTGCGGGTTTGAGTCTACTAAAAATATTATTTGAATGCTTTACTTATTATTGTTCCGGTGTGGATGTTACAACATGAATGTAACTTCTTTCCTAAAGACTTCATAAAGGAGGAGGTACTAACCTTTTTCTAGGTGAACCGATTTCGATGATTCTATTTTTATTTGAAAGCTGGTGCTTCTCATGTGGTCCCATATAAATATGATCAAGATCTGACCTATTGGTTTTTGAGTTATCTTCGATAATTTATATTGAAGTCAGTCGTAAAAACTTTTTTATTTTACCACTTCTTATTTACGCGTCACCACTACAGCCGATTAAATTCCTCTGCTGATTGTATGACTCCCCAAGAGATTGCTACCGTTTATAATTTTTCAGTTAATATTAAGAAGATGCTGCCTATCCTCTAGTTTATATCTTATCTTTGTCGATATTTTTTTATATGATAAGAGTGACAATCGAGCACACAGTCCACCTGATGGTAAGTGGTTGCATTGGCCCATAGACATCTACATATATCTTCGATTACGAATCAAAATGCAGATGCGTTGTCACCCGTGAGGACTATGATGGAGTGCCTCGTTTCCAGTAAAAAGGGTCTCCGGTTCTCTAAACTCACCATACGAAACACAGCGGCCTTAAGCTGCTATTTTACGCTGGTATTCTATGAGAGCGTGGTCCTTCCCCGGTCCAGCCCACCCATTCGTGCTAAAACTATACTATAGCTGCAGCATGGTTCTTCCACGTACATATGTCTTCTTACCTATTTCTGCTGCCAAATACGCTATGCTCCGGTCTGAAGAATATAGAAATCCAGTATAATTAAAGGTTATAAGGCATTCCAACTTAGGCCTCACATGTGACAGCGCATCTGTAGTTTCCTATGCTTGAGGTTTGCTCCAGGTGCTCATGGGCTGCAGTGGCCACTTACCATCAGGTGGGCTGTGAGTTTGTTACTTCAGTTTTATAAAAAAGAGAAGATTAATTGGTTTTCTTTTCAAGAATGCGAGGAGTACAGTCGGGCTGTGGTGCAGAAGGTGGACTATACTGCACTGCTGCCTGACCCTGGCACGATGTCGTTATCCGCTGCCAACTGTGATTACACCGGGGTTGAGCTGATTGTTGGCGGCGAAGACGCCAACCAAGGGGAGTTCCCGCACATGGTACGCAAAATTATTGCAGCTTCTTTTTCGTGAGGAAATCCTCGGGTATACCAGGGTAACGAAAAGGTTAGGTAGGACTCCTGCCGGCTATACGATAGGTCCCGGGACCGGGGTCCACGCGACCGGCGCCCCCTCATCGCTTCGCTACACTATTAGCACGTGCCGGCCGCAATACTTGCTGCTCCTAGCTTCCTCCCAGTGTTATCACGGTGTCTCGGGACCACTTTCGAGTCATCATCCTTCCTCGAGGTTACATTACTGCGTTCGAGGCCTCCGTGCCGAGCGTCTAGAACCCCAAAGGCCCCATTTATGGTATGGAAACACGGTTTTCAAGAGGAAAGTCGTGAACATAATTGCAGCCTAGCACAAGCCTACTCATATACTCTTAGCACAAGTTGACGATACTAGGGCCTCATACATCGTGGAGAAATTTATGCGAGAAAACTTTGTCTTCGTCTCACGGTACATAATAATAATAATTCTTTATTGAACACAGATATAATATACAATTCATTGGTTCTCTGACTCCTAAACTAGGTTACCCTGTATGTTAGGAGGCAGTTTCCCACCCATTAAGTGATCTGATTTTCCGTGTACAATACAGACTCTAAAATATATAAAAAATATTTAAAAAAAGTGTGTGTGTGTGTGTGTGTGTGTGTGTTTGTGTGTGCATGTGCGCGCGACTGTTTTCATTAAAATATGTGTACATAACTTAAAGTAGGTTTTCACAATTTTCATAGTCGTATTCTTTTAGCCAATTTAAAATAGCTTGTTTTACTTGGTAACTTTTTAAGTTATTTAACTTAATTTTTTTTATTAATTGTATTATATAAATGAGGTGCTTGGTAGTCATATTGCCTTTTTGCAAATGCGCTTTTTACAAATGGTACTGGACATTTTTGTGTTCTTTTGTTTTTAGCTACATATAGTGGGGAAAAATTATGATATCGTTTTATGCATTTGTATATATACGATTTTCGTACACTGAGGACATTTGACAATACGTAAACTTTAGATGTTGGATATGTATAAGGAAGATGTAATATTAGTTTTAGTATAGATCTTTGAGCTCGCTCGGCCTCAATAAGATATGTTTTTGGAGCTCCACCCCATGAGCAGATGCAATAATTTATAAGACAATGACAAAGGGCGTTATATGTCTGAATTAGTAGGTTTTTATTCGCTGCAGTTCTTAGGTTCTTAAATACTATAATGAGTCTCCGAATTCGTTTAGATATATTTGATATATGAGGTTGCGAATTTAATCTTTCGTCGAGGATTACCCCAAGGTATTTTATCGTAGATGTTCGTTCTAATATTGTACATTTACATCTCTCTTTTTTTTGGAACGTATTACAAGGGTACGTATGCATGGTGACAAAGAAGCTGTGGGGTGGTTTTGAGATTATTGTTTTGAAAAAACATACATATTTCGTTTAACATACATACATGTTCATACTTTTTTCTTTTTCTTTATTGATCATAGAACCAACCGCTACCGTTACAGCCTATTAAAGTCCACTACTGAACTTTGGTCTCCCCCATAGATTTCCTCATAGAGGATATTTGTCATAGTTGCCACGCTTGCCAAGCGGGTTGGCAACCGCAGTTTTTATTTTTAGTCGTTATCATGAGGACGCTGCCGCCCACCTCCTGATTTGTTTCCCTCTATCGCCTCTCACGACACCCCCGGGATGTTATGGGGTAGTGGATATTCTTGCAACACCACTACACGGTAATGGACACGGCATAGAACCCCACAGCACGTTAAAAATGGCGACTCATAAATTACGTCGTTGTTATATTCTATAGTGATAATGTACGCCAAAAAGATGGATGACTGTGGACTGTGTATTTTTCACAACAGTTTTTAATATTGAACCCAAAAACATAGTAGAGCCAAGCTGCAGCTATATTATGGTAGTAGCAAGAATGGATCGGCTCGACCGGGGACGAACCACGCTCTCACAGAGTACCATCGTAAAATAGCATCTTAACACTGCTGTGTTTCGTATGGTGAGTGTAGAGAACCGAAGACGCTTTTTACTGGAAACGAGGCATTCCATCTTAGTCCTCACGGGTGACAACGCATCTGCATTTTGATTCTTAATCGAAGATAGATGTAGATGTCTATGGGCCACAGCAACCACTTACCATCAGGTGGAAGTGGAATGTGTGTTTTAATTTAGTTTTTTTTTTAAAATCTGACCTCCACACTAGGATTTTCTCCTGTGTCGTGGAGGCAGTCTACAAATATAAATTTCACAAGGACAAACATCCAGACTAAGCCACTGCGCCATGGAGCCGTATTTGTTGTTTCTTTGTAACCCTCTAAAAAAATTATGTCATAATTACTCATTTTTATAGGAAAATGTAAAGAAGTGTAAAACTAAATTATACATTTCAGGCTGCAATAGGGTGGGTGGATTACGACGATGGCTACACCTTCAGCTGTGGAGGGAGCCTCATCAGCTCCAAGTTTGTCCTGACCGCAGGCCACTGCATCAGCAACCCGCGCGCGCGCTATCCAGCGCCTGCTATCGTGCGACTTGGAGATCAGAACCTCGACCCTGCCGTAAAAGATGGCGCGAATCCTATAGAGGTACTTAATGATTTTTGAGGAGCATAGAATTATATTCTTTTAACCGACTTCAAAAAGGAGGAGGTACTCAATTCGACTGTATGTTTTTTATGTGTGTTAGTTACTCCATAACTTTTTTCTGGGTGAACCGATTTCGATGATTCTTTTTTATTTGAAAGCTGGTGTATCTCATGTGGTTCCATATAAATGATCAAGGTCTGACCGGTAGTTTTTGAGTTATCCTTAATAATTTATATTGAAGTAGGTTGTACAAAATTTTTAATTTTACTACTTGTGTTTTTGACTTCAAGATACTGTAAGCTCATTCTGCGTAGATCGGACAAAAATTAATATTCAAAAACTGAAGGTAGCCGGGCTGACTATGACATCGGTACGTTAAACAACTCAATCGTAAATTAAAAGGTTTAAATTCAATAAAAACGCGATAAAATCCTTAAAATTAGTTTCATTTAATTCTTTTGTTTCCTTTTTTTATTTTCTTTTCTTCTAATTATTTCCCATCGGTAACTGAAGTATGTGTACTTAAATTAATTTAAACTCATTTCGTTTTCGAAGTAAAGTATGTACTGATTAAGATTACCACAAGGCTCTATTTTCGGTCCCTTGCTGTTTATCTTATTTATCAATGACATCAACAATTGCTTTCATCACAGCCATTTCCTACTTTACGCTGACGACCTAAAGGTATACCTGCCAATCTTAAGCGCTGATGACAACTTTAAGTTACAAAGTGATCTTTATCGCTTATCTTTGTACTGTACTAAAAATAAACTACAGCTTAATGTTGATAAATGTAAATCAATAACATTTACAAAGAAGCGTAATCTTATAAATAATACATATACTATTAATAATACAGAGTTATGTAAGGTGGATCTAATTAAAGATCTAGGAGTTATACTAGACGCAAAACTTGATTTTAACGATCACATTAACTATATTACCAACAAAGCATTTTGTATATTTGGTTTTATTATTCGCTCTTGTAGTGAATTCGTTCGACCCAATTCATATATCTACTTGTTTAATTATCTGATCAGACCGATATTGGAGTACGCCTCTATCATTTGGAACCCATTCTATGAGAAATACAATCTTCAGTTAGAGCGTATCCAACGTATGACCTCCGGACAACTATAATGACCTCCGGACATTTCAGTAGCACGTGGGCCGCCGTTTCTTCCTCCCCCATACATGCCCTGCACAGGGGACTATCTGTAACACCTATAGTAAATAAATGTTTGTTAAAGGTGCCGTGTCCTGTGATAGCACTTGTTACTATCCTAATCTGCGGCTTGTTCAGTCTCATTAAAACTTTTGTTAAGCGACTGTTAATTTCAGGCAGGGCATCCCTAGCTTGTCTACAGTCTACTAGATTTTTCCAAAGCTGAGCGTGTTGATTAGTGAAGTGTCTACGTACCAGTGAACAAACGTTACCAAAGGGGATTGGTATGATTGGTTCCGGCCCTATAGTGGCCAAAGCCGATCCTCTTCTAGCCAGTTCGTCTGCTGCATCGTTGCCTCTGGATCCACTGTGTCCCTTTATCCATTGCAGGGTCACATTGTTGTTTTTACATACCTCATTTAATCGTTGATGGCATTCATATATTAGTCCCGAGTTCACCACATTGCATCTCAGGGCTTGGAGTACCGCCCTACTGTCGGTCAGTATTCTGATGGGGAAGTCATTAACCTTCCTAGCATCTATTGCTATGGCCGCTTGAATGATACCCATACATTCCGCCTGAAAGACCGTGTTATAGGTACCCAGCGGTGTGCATATGTGAATATTGAGGTCTTCAGAGTAAGCTCCAGAACCTACACCTTCATTTGTTTTAGAACCATCGGTGAAAATTCTAAGCTCTTTTGGGCTTAATCCTTCCGGCTGGCTGTTTTCATTTAACTGTATCTTGTATTTCTTATCGAAAACAAATTGTTTAGGAATCCTATCGTATTTGGCTTGTAGGATAGGAATTTTTGAGTGAATTCTATCAATTATGCCTGTATGAGGGACACTATTCTTACTCCAAAGATTTAGGGTCTTGAGTCTGATGGCAGCTAAAGTCGCTTCTTGTTGTATATGTAGATGAAGCGGAGTTAGCTCTAGCATCGCTTCTAAGGCTGCTGTTGGCGTAGTTCTCATGCAGCCTGTGGCAGCCATACATGCCAGTCTCTGGTAGCGCTGAAGCTTTTTAATTATGGTGGCTTCATTTGTCTTGGTCCACCATACCAGAGCGCCGTATGTGATCATGGGCCGAATTACAGTTTTGTAAAGCCACAGTATGATTTTTGGCGTCAATCCCCATCTTTTGCCAATCATGTTTCTGCATTGCCAGAAAGTTATACTAGCTTTGTTGATTTTGTTTTCTATGTGTTTATTCCAGTTAAGTTTGCTGTCCAAGGTAAGACCTAAATATTTTACCTCAGAGGATAGCTGGAGTTTTGTGCTAAAAAGACTTGGAGGATGATAGTTATTCAGCTTTCGTTTTTGTGTGAACATAACTAAAACCGTTTTATTTGGATTGACGGTTAAGTCGTGTTCCCTGCACCATCTCTCCACTATACGGAGAGCCGCTTGGGTCAGGTCGCACACTATGCTTGCTGTCTTTCCAGAGACCAGTATTGTCAGGTCATCAGCATAACCTACTGTATAGAAGTGATTGTCATTTAATTTGCTGATGAGTTCATTAATGACCATATTCCACAGGAGAGGTGAGAGAACCCCACCCTGCGGGCAGCCTTTCTTAATTTGGATTGGTTGAGATTCACCAGCAATCTTTATTATTCGTGTACTGAGCATGTAAACTATCCAGTCGATCAGTGCCGGTTCAACTTTGTGTCTACCGAGTGCACCTTTTATGCTGGAGAAGTTCGTTCGGTCAAAAGCACCTTCTATATCTATGAAGGAACCTAGACATATTTCTTTGTTTTGGATGGCCTCTTCAATCTTTGTAATTACCTTATGAAGGGCCGATTCTGTTGATTTGCCTAGACTGTAGGCGTGTTGCTTGTCGTGTAGTGGTAAGTTCATTAGCGCCGACCCCCTTAATTCCCTTTCACACATCCTCTCCATCGTCTTTAGGAGAAAGGATGTGAGGCTAATGGGCCTGTAGGATTTAGGGTCAGTGTAGTCGCTCTTACCTGGTTTGGGTATGAATGTAACTTTCACTTCCCTCCATCCCCTAGGAACATATTTAAGAGCAAGACAGGCTCGCATTATGGCAGCAAGTCTGACTATTAGGGCTTTACCCCCCCACTGTAGGAGTGCTGGGAATATGCCGTCGGGTCCTTCCGCCTTATAGGGGAGGAAACTGTGAATGGCCCAATGGATTTTGTCCATCGTTACCACTCTCTGTGCTAAATTCCAGTCTTCTGCTGTTGATGTCAGTATGTCGTCATGCCGGTTTGCCTCCTGGGTTACGCAGCAACCTGGGAAGTGCGTTTCAATTAGGATGCGTTGGGCTTCATCCGGCGATGTTGAGTAGCTACCGTCGGGTTTCTTTAGAGACATGGATCCCGACGTGTTCTGTTTAGCTAGAATATTCCTAATCCTATTTGCTTGTTTGCAGGTTTCTATGTTGCCACAGAAATTACGCCACCCAATCGAGCGTCGATACCTGATACATTTTTTGTATTCAGACTTAGCTTTCTTATATAATAGCCAGTCTTCATCCATTTAGGTATTCATGGCCCTATTTAGAGCTTTTCTTACCTTCTTACGTTTTCTATCGAGTTCTTTACCCCACCACGGTTGTTTTACCTCGGCATGTCTTGGTGGAGTGATTTCTGGACATGATTCATGGTAGCTGTCTATCATGGCCTTAGTAACAGCTGCTACCTGTTCTTCTAGGAGCGACTGATCTGCTATAGTATTTATCCCCTCAAAATCCGCTAGCAAAGATGTCAGCCTATTTAGGTATTTTGTTTTATCTGTCTTGCGGGGATTTCTCCATGGTGGTGTAGAGGGGATATCGACCTGTAGTGCGAAGCAGATCCATCTATGGTCTGAGCATGAGGCCTCTCTCGACACATGCCATCCCGTAATTAGTTTGGCTGCTCCTTCTGTTGCAAGTGTGAGGTCGATTATAGTGCGACAGCGTTTGTTTATGAAAGTAGGTTCAGAACCTATGTTTAAAATGGTTAGGTTAGTACTAAATAAATATTCAACTAAAACTTTACCTCGTTCATTTGGTTTTTCCATTCCCCAAAGGGGATGATGTGCGTTGGAGTCCGTCCCGATCACAACCTCTAGTCCGGTCCTCTCGCAGAAGATCACCAGCCTGCTGAGGTCATGAGGGGGAGGAGTGTCTTCCTCCGGCATGTAGACCGAGGCGACGACTAATCTACTCTCCTGTGTATACTGTATTGCTACGGCACACATGTCTCTAGAACAGAAATCTGTTAAAGGTTGTGCACAGATATCTTTAGTAGTGTAAATACACGCTCTAGGCTTGTCGTGTTCAGAGCTGTAGAATAACTTACCTTTTAGGTTGTTTAGGCCTTTAATTTTACCAGCCCCAACCCATGGCTCCTGGATTAAGGCTATGGCAGTCCTTTGAACCTCCAACCACTTGCGTAATTGAGCCGACGCAGTTTCGCTGTGGTGGAGGTTGGCCTGCACTAGGCTAGTTTTGGACGAAGGGCACGCCATCATTGATCGCGTCCTCCCCGTCCCCGCCCAAAAATAGGCCTGCCAGAAGATCTCGGGTTTCATCGTCAGCCACCGAGTCGGAGGTGGTCGGCAAAATGCAGTCCTCCTCGTCACTCCGTGAGCTGCCGCTGAGCCCAATCTCCACTGGGGGCTTCGGCTCAATTGTGCAGGCCGTTTCTTCACTGGACTTGGCCTCCAGTGATTCCGCTGTACCGGTAACTATGGCTCCGGTATCCATAACTTCCGGGTTGTTTTCTACCTCTTTGCTCGGTGGAGTATCAAAGAATTTGCCTCCACGACCCTGGAATTTTACGTATACCGCCCCGCATACACATGCGAGACGGCGTCC